CAATAATTTGTCAAACTGTGACTTGCTTTGAATTTCCTTTCCCGAATTTGCGGATATGCGATTAATTCAGGGGAAATGCTACAGTAAGATAGCAGAAGCTGAAAGAACTCACGCCAACAAAGGGCGAGGAGAGTGGTTCCAGGAAGATAGTGGACGACAATCGATGTTCGGATTCCAGGCACAGAGGAACAAGTATTGGGCATAATCGAATCAGGGCCTTCTATGGGCACTCAGAGCACAATAACTGACACTTTCCCGAGCACCAAATAAATACCGAGGAAGGGCTACATTCCTACCACGTTTGTACGATACACACAGCACAAGGAGATACAAATGAAGCAGGAGTTAATTAACTGAATACCAGAAGCTGCTTAATAAGAGTGGATAATAAGGAAATTACACAGGCACTAGCTTGTTTGGAGTTAACCACAGAGTGAGAAATGGCGATGTCGCCAACTACCGGGCAAATATCGCCAGTTTTGAGGCCAAGTAAATTCAAACGGGGCAAACCAATAAAAACAAAGTGGAACGGTTTAAATTAAACAGGTACTTTATTTTTTCTAACAAGTTGAATTGAATGTGTGTGCGAATTGTGTGTCTAAAATATATTAAGGAGACAAATACACAATTTAATAAAAATCTAGAAATTTTCAATTGTACTAATGCAAGGAACATCAAATTCTCGAAGTAGGTGGAACATTTCAGTTTCTTCTCCATATTCTAACTCAATCGCTTTGACTTCTGTCAGTATTTCGTTCTTGATTTGTCATTACGTTTGATGTAAAATCTTTAATCATATCAGTAGTATAATGCAAAATCTAACAGCATATATCCGTGCATAGAAATGCATCTTTACCTTAAAGACGAATTTAAAGAATTTGTYTTTTTTTTATAAACATATCTTTTGCCTAGTATATCTCTCGACTATTCGATTATGTAAAATCATATATGCTTGACTTCCCCGAAAGGTTTAAGTATAAGGTTCTAATATGCTTAGGTTTATGATTCAGCTATCAGATACTAGCGTTTAGATCTTTAAGTTTATACTGCTATTTTTTTATCCGGCTAATGGAAATCGCCAGTCGCCAATTCAAAAAACATTGTCGCCAACATAAGCAAAAAATCGCCACATCTGGTCACACTGGTTAACCATTCGACCAATTCGAGGTTATGAGAACAGGTTGACATTTCGAAAGTAAATTCCGCAGTCAACGAATCTTGTTGAATTTACTGTTTATCCTTGTCTATCTTATTGTCACTCTGTATAATTCCATGGTTACGGGAGTTTTAAATAATTACGAAGCATCAGGTATTTGCGCAATGTTAATTAGGCAGATTACTTTGAAAAACATTGGTGCCGTATTTTTGATATAGTTTTTTGCAAATTTCTCAGTTTTTAATAACAATTGATTTTTTTTACTATTTTTTATGTTCTAGAACAGCACCAGACAACACCTCCAGAGGAATGACGCGCATTTTGAATCTCCCTGTATGTATTTATTTATTGTTTAAATTGCCTGCATTTTAAAAACTAAATGAACACACATGTATTATTTTTCTTTAAAATAGATTGATTGTCTAAGAAAAAACTATAGACGTGGCAACTTGGCCCAAATTAAATTTCAAGTTTTCACGCAATAGTTTTTGAAATATTAGGCTGCTAGTGGAGCTTTGACTTGCATACACCTTTTAGAGAGTGATTTTGAAACCTTAAATTTTAATATTCCTTTAATGATCCTATCGTTATTTTAATAACGATGATCATAAAAAGCCGACCAAGGGAAATAAAACCTTTGAAAAGCTTAATTGGAATTTTTCAAACCTGAAAATAAAATGTAATAATTAAATGAAATTGATCATTTAATGATCTCTTATCATTTTCCACACATCTTGATTTCTATAAAAGAACCTACACATGAAGAAATAAAAAACAAAAAAGAGAACTGTGACTTATTTGTAAAATATTCAGACACTGGACCAGTTTATTTTATTTGCGCCAAGAAGCATATGGCGTAAACAGTGTTAATTGGCCAAAAAAAAGGAGTAGCCAATTTTTCACCGAAGAAAAGCTGAGTTTTTACTTCTGACTAGTCATGTTTATGGCTCCCCCATACGAGTTAAAGCTAAATTAATATAAATGTAAAATTTGTAATTTAAAAACCCCGAAATATCAAATTTCAACAAATATTGGCATTATTTTCAAAATCCTTTTATAAATAAAAAGGAATCGACAAAATAAGACTAAAATTTTAACACTCTGTATCTTGGAAACTGTGCACTTTAGGACTTATGGTTATGGGAACTTTTTCTCGTAAATAACCTAAGAAATCACGTCCTTAAATATAGCCGCGTCCTTCTTTAAACATTCAGAGGTATAGTTTGGGTGAACGGATTGCAGTTTTACAGGGACAACAATGGAGCAGTTTTTTCTATTTTGGCTAAATGGAATAAAAAATATCAGCCAGTTTTTTAACCATCAGAAGCCGAATGTTTACTGAGTAATAAGTATATTATACGGAGTGTCGATTTGAAAATTTCTCACCCTTAATCTTTTTTCTAGTTAAAAAAATGAAAAATCGGAGACCCGCCAATTTTATTTTTTAGTGGGACACTTTCAATAGATGTTCTCAGCCTTCTTGTTTCAACCCCCAGGTGCCCAATTCT